ATGAATAATGTGAAGAAGCCGTCTGATGTTGTTTGATGCAAGTCTTCTTTTTAGAAATCCTGTTTGGTCGTAATTAATTAGTTTGCCTACATATGGCTCCAGTCTTCCTACTAAAACTTTAGCAAAGAGCTTTAATTCTGTTGTGATCAATGATATCGGTCTATAACTGCCACATTTTAAAGGATTTTCCTTTTTTAAGTAACATTGAAATAAGAGATGTATTTTGGTCGCGATGAAAAAATCCAATATCAAGGGCATAATTTAAAGAATCTAGGATGAGTGGTCCAATAATATCCCACAGTTTTAGAAGAAGCCTGGCGATTTTCCTTTCTGCATTGATTTTATGGCCTCTTTGAGCTCTGAGAAGGTGAGTTGTGAATCGAGGGAGTCAGCCTCCTCAGTAGTTAACTTCGGTAAATTAAGTTTTAACAAATATGATTTAAGGTCAGTCAAATCTGGAGTAGATTCACCCTTATACAGATCTGAATAAAATGATCTAAACGTTTAATTTATTTCATCTGGATCAAAGGTAATAGATCCTGATAAAGTTTGAATAGCAGTGATGAAAATGATTCATTTTGTTTTAATCTGGCAGCTAGAAGTCTGCTTGCACTTTCACTCTGACTGTAGTATGTAACTCTAGTACGATGAATTATAAATTCAACTTTTGCTTTAAGCAAATTATTTAGTTCAAATTTCAGCGTAGAAAGAGTTGATTGTGAAAAGCTGATGTTTCTGTCTAGTTTCTAACATATGTATGTCACCCTCTAGTTGTGTGATTCTGCGTTTCCTTGATTTATCAAATGAGAGCCAAATGAAGGAGATTCTCCTCTCAAAAAGCATTTAGTTGTTTCCCGCAAGTATTTGTGGCGAAGTTGCAGTCTCTGAATTAATTTCAAAAAATACTTTGAGGTTGTTTCTTAATTTTTTTCAGAAAGTCAGTGTTTTGGAGTAATGTTGTGTTAAAGCGCCATCTATTGGAGTGTCTAGAGGCACTCTGCCCAATATAAAAGCTATACATCATTGGGGCATGATCTGATATTATTATTGGAAGAATATCTGTAGATGTAACACAACGGTTTAGGTAGGGGGAGACAAATATATAGTCAATTCGAGAATACGACTTATGTCTAGCAGAAAAGAAAGTATAATTTGTAGTTGTCGGATTACGTAGCCGCCAAGGGTCAATAATGTTCAGGTCAGAAGTAAAGTTATTAATCTCACAGGATGATTCCTGCGCTGAGCGTGTACTCATTGATTTATCTAAATGTATGTCACATACCTGATTAAAATCATTCCCATCAATAACATGGTAGTCTGACATGTCTAATAGAGTATCGGAGACAGTATCGAAGAAATCTGGATCGGTAAGGTTTGGAGCATATATTGATGCAAGACAGATTTTCATGTTGTTTATCGTCATACAAGCATAAGCTAGTCTCCCCTCATTGTCTTTACCAGTTCAATATTCACAGATAATTTCCTGTCAAATATTATAGCGACCCCTTTAGACCTATTTGCAGCCGAAGAGTGAGCAACACATCTATAGAATCTATTTTAAAATCTATGAATGTCATCCGCTTTAAGATGAGTTTCCTGAATGAGACCAATTGAAACTTTTTTCCGTTTGAGAAATTCTAAACACTTTGTGCGTTTGACAGGCGAGTTAAGGCCACGGACATTCCATGACATTACATTAAAAGGATTACTTATAACCAGGTTTGCACGATTGTAGCATCAATAGGATATGTAATGTAGATCTACACTTAGAGCAATACTGCACATATAAAATAAAAAACGTAAACATAATGTAACAAACTTCATCTAAGTAGCAAGGCATTGGCGAAGAACACATTAATTCTTGAACAAAATGTTCCATCCGCAAGAGATAAAAGAATTTCTCTTTGGTTGGAGGAGAGAAAAAAAAACTGAACAATAAAATAAAATTTCTTCCGGCTACCTGTGACTCCCAAAAAACGACACACGTTCCAAGCCCGACCCCGTTAGGAGGTATCAGAGAATTTTAAAGCCGTGAAATAGGAGTTGTGGGATGAAACTAAATCAACGACTATTGAGCTGGGTCAATAATTATAATGTCCCTAACTTAGAGAAGATGTTCTATTCATCATATAAAATTGTGCATTTATGCGCCAATATTAGAATTAAGAGAGGGAAAAGAAAGAACTTATCGTCACCATTATAATTATATAAAGTACCGTCAGCCTGATAACCCTTCAACTGCATCCAAATTTTCTTAGAGCGTCATGGTTTCTCCATCGAAGGATGCCGAGCGTGGTGGGGTGTTTGGAGCGCTGGGTCTGGGTGTTGAGCGTGAAGATCGAGCAAGTGCAGACATAAACTTCTCAGCATCTGCTACACTATCGAAGAAGTGCAGCGTCCCATTATGCTTAACCTTCAGGGTTGCCGGATATCTCAGAAACTGGCGTAATCCTCTGTTGGCGATCTGTTTCCTCACCGCATCAAAGGCTCTTCTCTTCTGGGCTGTCTCTGTGCTGTAGTCCGGGAAAAACATTAGCCTCGACGTTGAGGTCCGACCTTCATATGACGCCTGGTGTGTCGGCGCTGATGGAAGAGCCCTGACTCCGTTGAGGATTTTCTCCCTGTCCTGATACCGGAGGAGTTGAAATATGAGCGTCCGGGGACGGTTGGACTTATCCTGGGCAGTATATATGCGATGGGCCTGCTGAATCTTAATCTTTTCTCCTACAAGAGAGGGGATCCATTCGGGTAATTTATCCTGCAGAAACTGAATAGCGTTTTCACCTTCTGCTGACTCCACTAAGCCCACGAGTCGGATGTTGCATCTCCGTGATCTGTCTTCCATCTCGGCTATTTTCTGGTGAAGTTTTAGCACGTCTTTCTGAGGGCCACCGACATCGTGTTTGACCGCTCTCATATTAGCCGTACTAGCATCCACCCTCCCTTGTAGCTTCCTACCAAGTTCAGCTTGTTGAGTGATATCCTCACCAAGTTTGGCAACGGCAGTGATCGTGCTTTCAATCATTGACTTGAGAGTTTCATTTTCACCTGAGAGCATATCCTCCACTGCCTTTCTCACTGCCAGCTTAAGTTTTTTGATCAACCGATCTTCTTGCTCTTGTAAAGCTAACAAGATGGTAGCATTAGATGGCTTGTCAGGCTGTGCGTCCTGAGGCTCTTTCTTTTTCGGCGCAGGTGTATCCTGAGACGCTTTATTTCTCGTCGTTTTTGTGCCCGACATGTCGCGGATACATCTACAAATAACATGAATTATAAAAGTCTCTGAATTACTGGATGTTTTAATCAATTTTTGGACTTTTGACACGGAGCTCGGACTAAGCGTGCATCACTTCTTGGCAGCCACCGGAAGCTCCCCCTCTACTGATTTTATGACACTCACCACTCCACCTGTTATGGCAGCCTATACACTTTATATTTTTACGTTTAAAAAGAGCCCTAAATTAATTCCTTTCTAGGATTATTTGTGTATTTATGTGTAAATAATGGTTCTGACCATGAAAGGATCTGTCATCATGAGATTTTAAATTATCTACTACATTTTACTGGGAGCCAATGCAGTTAAACTAACGAGAAAGATAAATATCCTCCATTTTTCTAGAGATAGTCTTTGAAGACTTGTTCCAACCTGGCATTTAAAGAAAAGTCTGGCCTAGATGTTGAGCATTTTTGAGACAGAATGTGTCTAATTTTTACAACTGGACCTTTGTCAAGCACAGCCCCAACCAGGAAGTATCGCTTTATTAATTAAACTTTCATTTTACCTTTATTTATTCTCACGAAATCACTGAGGGCAAGCCCTCATTTAGAATGACGTCGAGAGTACCAACAAATAAAAACGAATTAAAACAAATAAGAGACAAAAAAAAACAAAAAAACAACGAAGACAAAATACATAGATTATAAGACCAGAAGAATAAGCAGTAAGCAGGCAACCACAGTTAATAACATTTACACTCATGAGTACAGTGAATTATGATCAGGTTTTTAAATTGACCCCTGGTAACCATTGTATTGCTTTCAATGTGTTTTGTATTGTGTTCCAGGTGTGTGCAGCACAGTAGGTGAAGGATGTTTTCCCAACGTTCGTTTTTACTTGTGGGACCATTAACATTAGCCAGTCAATTGATCGAGTCTGATACTGATTATCAGCCCAGATTAATAAAGAAGTGATGTATGCTGGTAGATTACCCGCAAGTGATTTATAAATGAATAGCAGCCAATGCCTTTCACGTCTAACTGTTAGTGAAGCCCAACCAACTTTATCGTACAGGATGCAATGATGAATGGAATATTTGTCACCAGTGATAAATCTGAGGGCGGAGTGATAAACTGTGTCTAATGATTTTAGGGTGGAGGCAGAAGCATGTCTATAAATGACATCCCCCTAGTCCAGAACAGATAGGAAGATGGCTTCAATTATTCGCTTTCTACTCACTAAAGGGAAGTTCACTTTATCAAGCCAAGCACTCCCTAGTTAGTTTTATTAGGTTAGACCAAATCTCTTGTCACCGGGCTCCTTTCCTTTTCAAACTATTACAAATACCTGGAGATTTTTGACTTTGATTATTTTCTTAACTTGTCCTCAGTGAAAGAGTAAGGACAGAGATACAGTAGGGAGTATGAGGAGAAGTCTAAATCTCTAAAATAAATCATATAAAATATGATCCATGTCTGATGCTATAGTGATGACGGCTAACGTCGTTCTCCAGTATGTTCTTCCCTTGTGATTCGGTTGAACTACACGTAGCATTTATATAAAGACAGATATTCTCATTATAGTGTTGTATAATGGACACATCCGCCACTTCTGCGTCATTCTTTTCACATCATGTCTCACTTCAGGAGACCCCCCCCTCATCTGACAGGTGCACCTCACAGCCCCCTCCAGCTTCAGTAATCCTGTCTAATAAAAACAAAGTGAAAATCAAACTACAGGGGTTTTATAATGACAACACAAAGATTCTGTCTTTTTACTACAGGTGGTGAAAATGATGATTGTGGTTGTTTGCACTTTTGCAATCTGCTGGCTACCCTTCCACGTCTACTTCCTGCTGCACCAGTTCTTTCCTGACATGTTTGAAGAAAGATTCATCCAGCAGGTTTACCTGGCCATCATGTGGCTTGCCATGAGCTCCACCATGTACAACCCAATCATATACTGCTGCCTCAACGACAGGTAGGAAAGATTCCTTTTTCTTGTGTTTGGTGTGACGCTGCTCATACAGTAAATGGTAAATGGACTCGAGCTTGTATCGTTCTTTTCTGGTCCTCTGACTACACAAAACGCTTTTACACCTCAGGTCACACCTACACATTATTGTACTTCTGGATGGCAGGCAGTGTGAGTGGAAAAAACTTGACAAGCAGATTGCAGATTTGTCCATTAAAAATAAAATGTACTTAAACTGAAAAACTGGCTCTCCTCATAGCCTTTAAAAAAAAAAAACACCAACCGGTCTGCTGTTCTCACAGACTTTAAATACCAGGTTATCTGTGTTCTAGGGCCAATCAGCAAGGAGCTTCAATCAGTGCCAGATTGACTCCAGGTGTAATTAATCTCACCTCCCCTGGAGTTAATGAGACTCAAACAACATGATTAAACAAAGGAAAAAGTATTAAACTTCCCTTCTTAAGTTCAAACATATCAAATAAATATATAACATAAACACTCAGTTGTCTTTAACTTTAAATAGGGGAAAAACCATTTTATCATTTTAAGTACTTTTAGTGAAATAAACCATTTACATATTTCCACTCAAACATCGACTCCTGAGCGAGAGGAATGTGCATCTTCCTCTCGGCCTAGAACATCAACCATCAAAAATCTACATTTATGCATTGGAGAGGATATGCTCCATAACAAACATTCACACACTGATAGTAGAGGCTGCAGTTTAAAGAGTCCATCAGTATTAACTCATCCATTCATACACATTCACACACTGATGGTAGGGGCTGCTGAGTAAAGAGTCCATCAGTATTAACTCATCCATTCATACCCATTCACACACTGATGGTAGAGGCTGCTCAGTAAAGAGACCATCAGTATTAACTCATCCATTCATACACATTCACACACTGATGGTAGAGGCCGCTGAGTAAAGAGACCATCAGTATTAACTCATCCATTCATACACATTCACACACTGATGGTAGAGGCCGCTGAGTAAAGAGTCCATCAGTATTAACTCATCCATTCATACCCATTCACACACTGATGGTAGAGGCTGCTGAATAAAGAGTCCATCAGTATTAACTCATCAATTCATACACATTCACACAACGCCAACCAAGCAGCAGGAGCAACTTGTGGAGACAGACCACTGACCCACTGTTGCCTTGTAACAAACAGTTTGGATTCATAGTTAAGAAACAAAGATATGATTGTGTGAAATAAAGGTGGCAATGTTCATTTGAAGTTTGAATACTGGCTGACTCCTTAATATTTTTGTATTTAATAACATTTAAATGATACCTGAGCCACTTTAGTTTGCAAAGCATTTAAAAAACAACAACATCCATCCACTATTTATAGCGCTTTTCCCGTTCAGGGTCATGGGGGGCTGGAGCCTGTCAGAGCTGGTATTGGGCGAGAGGCGGGTGTTGGGGTTGTATCAAGTCAACTTTGGTTATATTCTTTAATAATTATATATAATTATTAATAATATAAATAAAATATCATTAAACTATGTTTAATCTCGTTTTGGGGCACCACCCTGTACTCAGGGAAATATAACCAAAATATCACTCAAATCAGTCTCAAATTAGTTATTTAATTACTAATATTATTAATAATTAATAACTATATTTAATAAATTGAAGGCGCGAAATCCGTACACAAAGCCTTCACACCCAGCTTATATCACAATGCAAATACAACCAGTAATCACAAACAACTGCTCTTAAATTATAACAGAATGTTTGTGTGTGTGTGTGTGTGTGTGTGTTGAGAGAGAGAGGGGGGGGAAGAGAGGGGGGAGATGGCTTCGTACCCACGTGGTCGCTCACGATGGCGCACACCTATCAAAGACCTGGGTGCGTGCGTGTGTGTCTGTGTCTTTGGATGAAAGAGAGAGAGAAGGGGGGAAGATTGCTTCGTCCCACGTGGTCGCCCTTACGATGGCGCACACCTAACAAAGACCTAATGTGGCCTTAATGTCTAAAAGAGACCGAGTTCGGCCCTACACGATCTGTGTCTCTGAGACGTCTGGATGGCCGCGAGTGTATAGATCTCTGTGTGTGTGTATGTGCGTAATGGCGCGGTGGTGGAGTTAGTCTCCAGATGTACGTCTACACGGGAATATGTGTGTGTGTCTGTTAGTAAAAGGGGGAGAAAAGAGGATAAAAGAAGAGAGTAGAGGAGAGCAGAGGAGGAGAGAAATGCGTGCCTGAAGAGTCTGAATCCCGCGGCACAACTCGGAGTAGTTCCCTTCATTCACAGAAAGAAACCAGTGGCTGAATTCAAGTTAATATGGTTTACACTGGCCTTTCTGATCAGAAGAGTAATACCCGGTTATAACGCTGTTACGATAAACACATATAGGACGCAGCGGTCCGAAACGGGAACAACAAGAGTTTTAAATAGGTAAAACTCAGGACGCGGCGGTCCAACAAAGATAAAAATTACAGTTCCTGCGTCAATCAAACAATTGTTAAAAACACTCTCTAAAGCTAATTAAGCCTCACTTGTGAATCGCTTTGCCCACGATTGGTGAAGGAAAAACGAGTCCAGACGATATCTTTCTGATAATCTGTTATAGTCTGATGCTCTCCGAGAAACTGAGATGCGTTCACTGGACAATCTGAGCTCGGAATTCAGAACACTGCCGGCCGCAGATTACCTGTGTGCCAAAACTTAAACCAAAGGAAGATTGTTGCAGGAAACAGGAGGTGAGCTTGTGTCTCCGAACACTTGAAGTCAGCGCGTGGAAAGAGAGAGAGCAATGGAAGTCTCACAGTTTTGTCATCTGGCCGACTTCCTGCGGGGTCTCCCTCAGGTTCCGGTCCCCCCTTTACGTCACACGTAGGTGTGAAGTACTGCAGGGGATTCTGGGATAAAGAGTCCTTTTAGGCCTCTTTGTGATCTCAGTGAATCACTCAAATGAGGCTTCTCACAGAGGTGCAGGCCCAAGTCCATTGTTTGACTGTCCTAAGCCTGCGTGGCCCAACACGGGGTTACACCCTGGACTGGTCTCCAGCCAATCACAGGGCTGATATATAGAGACTTTGGACTATGGGAGGAAGCTGGAGTACCCGGAGAGAACCCACACATGAACGAGGAGAACATGCAAACTCCACACAGAGAGACTCCTGTCAGATGGGGATTCAAACCAGGAACCTCCTCACAGAGAGACTCCTGAAGGACTGGGATTCAAACCAGGAACCTCCTCACAGAGAGACTCCTGTCAGACGGGGATTCAAACCAGTTTGGAGTAAAAAATGGCACCAGAAACAAGTAAATTCAATGAGAGCATCAAACACATTTGATCCATAAATAAAGCATCAACTAAAAACAGTTAAAGCGCAAGCCAAACAGGACACATGTTGAGAGACAAACATATGGCTGGACTTTATACAAGTGAATGACGTCAGTCCATTTGACAAATTCCCAAATTTCAAAAAAATCTGAGAATCGAAAAAGACCAATCACTTTGAGTGTTCTGTTGTATCTTTCATCACTACACTGATTTAAACAAGTCCTCACAGAGAGACTCCTGAAGGACTGGGATTTAAACCAGGAACCTCCTCACAGAGAGACTCCTGTCAGACGGGGATTCAAACCAGGAACCTCCTCACAGAGAGACTCCTGAAGGTCTGGGATTCAAACCAGGAACCTCCTCACAGAGATGCTCCTGTCAGACGGAAGCCGGAGTACCCAGAGAGAACCCACACATGCACGGGGAGAACATGCAGACTCCACACAGAGAGGCTCCTGTCAGACGGAGATTCAAACCAGGAACCTCCTCACAGAGAGACTCCTGTCAGACGGAGATTCAAACCAGGAACCTCCTCGCCGTGAGGGGAGAATGCTAACCACTACACCACATGTAGCCTAACATTATTCACAATTTTTTTTTAAGTCTGAGACAATACAACATTTTTAGGTTAAATCATCATTTTCTGGGACTGTACCCAAAGAAAATGATTTGGACTCATTATTTATTGTACACTGATGTTTTTTTTTTTTTTTAAATAAATCATGACAGAATATATAGACTTAGACTTAGAAAAATTTGTTCATCCCATAGGACAATTCATTTCCACAGAAGATCCAGACCATGCAACATTTACAAACAAACAACAGATGGAGTATGTCAGAGACAACAACCCAATCAGTCCATCTGATCATAGATAACTCTAACTGATAAACAAAGATCAACAAAAATATAACAGACTTTGTGAGATATGTGAGTTGAATGAAGTTGAAACGGAGTCCCATTTTCTTTTGCATTATACAAAATATAATGATTTAAGAGAATTATTGTTTCATGAAGTAAAATCTGAAATATTGGGGCGGACAGACATGCAGAAACTAGAATGGCTGTTTAATGGCTTGCTAATTTTGTTTCAAAAGCTTGGAAAAGAAGACAGGATATTCTGTTGAATTAGTTTTACTTGTTTTTGCTTTCTCTTTTTGTTTCTTAACAATGAATATAGCTTACCTAGTGCACTCTGATCCGGGAACGTTTTTAATTTATGGTGTCATGTAAGCCCATGCGGGCTGGGCATAAGGATGTATGTATGACACAATAATAAAATAAAAAACTAAAACTAAAACTAAAAATACAATGTGCTAAATAAAGGATGGAATTATTGAGAAGTTACTATTAGACAAACTTTATACTGAATGAAGATCAGAAAAATACAGTCAAAGTTATAGACATGCATACTAACCCTCAGCAGAATTAAACAGCCTGGTTAGAGTAGCTTGGGTCCTTGGAGTTTATTTATCTCTTCAAACAGCAAGATGGGGTTCAAATGATGTAAAGGCTTACATTCTACACTAAGATGACGCCTTCTGTCATTATACACGGAGCTCTTTCACCAGAGAAAAGCTGATGAATATAAGGTCTACAACTCCACCAGATTTATTCCTCACTTGCCTGATGGGCTCCGTGGACATTATTGGACATTCTGGTCAAAGGTGCGCTCACCTTTGTTAGCGCTCTGACGACAGACGAGAGGGTAACGGGCCAGAGCGCATGTGCGTCTCTGATAGCGCGGACTACACACCGCTCTAACGGGCATATTTCTCTCCAACGTGTCACTGTCAAACAAACTGGACTAACTCCAGCTACTGATGGTAAGAAACAGAGTCTTTTCTACATCCTGTGTTTTGTATTCATGGAGACGGTGCGATGTGGACTGATACCGGACTCTGCGCTTCAGCCGGCAGGATTCCAACTCTTATGAACGGATCCAGACGCACAACTTCCCGGGAAAGCAAGGGGTGGAGGAATCTGCTTTTATACCATCAGTGGCTGGGGTACAGATGTTACAGTGATCCAAAAATTCATGAATCATTAAAGGCTTGGCCATTTTGAGTGACAGATGGAAGCTGCTCGCTATCTGCTAGGTGTCACCTCAGCTGTAAACTGACACTAACCATCAGCAGTCTTGTCAAATGTTGATTTATTTATTCATTGTGGCCAGTGCATAGGAGTCAGGGTTGTTTTTTCCCCTTCAGAGAAGACAGCAGGCTCTAGGGATGTGAAGAGGCATCATTATCTGTATCTTACTCTGTTCAACCAAGTCAGCTAGTGTGGTTTTGTTGGTCACTCTGGCATGAGCAGCACGCCCAAGCTGATCCCACAAGTGTTGAATGTGGTTGAGGTCAGGACTGCAGGCAGGCCATTCCATCCTCTCCACTCCCAAATTCTGGAGGTGGTCTCTCATAAACTGGTGGGCGTTTTCATCTTGGAGGATAGAGTTCGGTCCCAGACTGTGGAGATGGGGGATTGTCACTGGTTGCAGAATCTTATCTCGATATCTGTCTTCATTGAGATTGCCTCCAATGATGACAAGCCTTGTTTTTCCAGTGGGGAGATGCCGCCCTACACCATCACACTGCCTCCACCAAAAGCTGTTACCCTATCGCTGCAGGAATCAGCATAGCGTTCTCCGCGTCTTTCTCCACACTTTGACCCTATGATCCAACTGCTGTAGGCAGAATCTGGACTCATCGCTGAACATAACATTCCTCCACATGTTCGGGTTCCAGTGCACGTGTTGCAGACACCAGAACAAACGGGCCTGATGGTGAAGGGCAGTCATGGCAGGGCTCCTGGCAGCCCTATGAGACCGGACATAGGCTGCGTGCAGTCTGTTCTGGATTGTCTGGGTAGAGAGCAAATCTGTAGAATGCCTACGGTTCCTAAGTGCTGACAGGGTTAGGAAACAGTCTTCTTGGGGTGTCGTCTTCTGTCTCTGCCATCCCCCGTTATATGGAACTTGGCCTTCAGTTTGGAGATGGTACTAGGGCTTACTCCAAATAATGCTGCAACTTGGCTGTGCGGAACACCAGCATGAAGTAGCCCTATGGCATTGGCCCTATCCAGATCAGTGGAATGTGGCATGCTTGGTGCAGACACCAACTGACTACTGAAACCGGGCCCATGCTCACAGGAGCTGCCAATTAGGCCACTGATTGTCAGCACCCGTGGTATCAGAAGCTCAAAACAAGAGTCAATAGAAACAGCCAAATAAGGTATTTGGCAAGTTAATATACAAGCTCAAGTTCATTTACCATTTTATAATGCAGTAACTCAGTTAAATTTTGATAATAGAAACGAGTAACTAACTAGTTACTAATTTCCAGTAACTTGCCCCTCACTGCTCATTTCCTTCCTTTCGTTCGTTTAGTCCTAATAAAGGTCAAATGTGTGAATAAGAGTGCATAGAGATAAGGTTTAGAGTTCTCTCTATACAGAATATTGAGGGGCTTTTGTCTCTACCAGCTTTGCCAATCTAAATTCAAATTTGTGGCAGATGCCGTCCCGTCCCTTCCTTTCCATTTCCATCCATCTCTCTTCATCTCGCTCGTGCTCTCAGTTGACATTGATCTTTTTCTTCCGTCTTCACTTCCTTCCTGCTCCCTTGTTTATGTGTGTGTGTGTGTGTGTGTGTGTGTGTGTGTGTGTGTGTGTGTGTGTGTGTGTGTGTGTGTGAGGTTGTCAGCCCCTTCAGCCTTGATCTCATCAACACGATCCTAAAGTATAACACCTCTTCTCTTCTTCTTTCCACGTCTTTGGATCATTTGAGATTATTTTTGGTATCTTAAACAGTAGAATAGAGAAGACTGTTTAATGTGTTATTCAGTAAACGACACAAAAAACAACGAGTTACTTGTATATAGTGTTCTCTCTTTTGATTTGTCTCATCTCAAGATAAGACAATTTTTTTTTCTTTAATAATATTGAAATGTTCAGTGTTTACATCAGCAAGGACGATAAAAAAGAAAAGCACACACCGTACAGCGACTGCTGCAGACAGGCTCACTGAAAAGAAAATATTGTGCATTCAATGTACAAAATAGTTGTGCAGGGAATTGCATATTGGAAGTTTCTCTGTAATTGCACACAAGTGATTGAGTATTTTTATAATGCAGTTGTGTGTGTTTTCCTGTTCCAATAGGAGCAGTCAGAGTCAGACTGCAGCAGGAAGAAAGGATTTAAAGCGTCTCTCGTTCACACACAGAAGTAGCCTGTCTCTAAATGGTTTCTCTTTCATGCAGGGGGAAATGTTATAGATGATAGATGATAGCTTTGTTATAATCCACCTGTATGATCCCCAGCTCCTGCAGCCACAAGACAATTAACCCCAATTAGATTCTGCTGCTCCGGTGGCGGCGTCTAAATGTGTATGAATGGATGAGTTAATACTGATGGACTCTTTACACAGCAGCCTCTACCATCAGTGTGTGACTGTGTATGAATCGAAGAGTTGATAGTGATGGACTCTTTACTCAGCAGCCTCTACCATCAGTGTGTGAATGTGTATGAATAGACGAGTTAATACTGATGGACTCTTTACACAGCAGCCTCTACCATCAGTGTGTGAATGTGTATGACTGGATGAGTTAATACTGATGGACTCTTTACACAGCAGCCTCCACCATCAGTGAGTGAATGTGTATGACTGGATGAGTTAATACTGATGGACTCTTTACACAGCAGCCTCTACCATCAGTGAGTGAATGTGTATGAATGGATGAGATAATACTGATGGAGTCTTTACACAGCAGCCTCTACCATCAGTGTGTGAATGTGTATGAATGGATAAGTTAATACTGATGGAGTCTTTACACAGCAGCCTCTACCATCAGTGTGTGAATGTGTATGAAGTGATGAGTTAATGGACTCTTTACTCAGCAGCCTCTACCAGCAGGGAGGGGCAGAGGAAGAGGACTGGAGCTGCAGGGACTCAGGAGGGGCATGCTGCAGAACATAAAACTTTATTTGTTTTTTTACATTCTGGATAATAACGAGCATATTTGGATTTGAAAAATATCTGTGTCCATCTCATTATCGGTGCCTTTCTGAATTTATATTAGGATTCCGTCTCATCCCTACTCACAAAGATTATTCCGTTTTGTTTCTTACAGGTTCCGTGCTGGTTTTAAACAAGCTTTCCACTGCTGCCCCTGTGTGCCTCAAGGCTCTTATGAAGGTCTGGAACTCAAATCTACCCGCTACCTTCAGACCCAGACGAGTGTTTACAAGGCCAGTCGGATGGAGACGACTGTGTCTACAGTTCTCCAGGTTGGAGAGGATATGGAGCCGCCAAAGGTCAAGGTGATGGGAGGTCCAGGTGCTGCAGTCAGGACCAGACCACATAGCTCCTCTCTGGATCTCACTTCAAACGGGTCATCATCCAGGAGCGTCTCCAAAACCCTCTCAGAGACGTCCAGTTTCTATTCCAGCAACAACTTGCAGGAATAGACTATGGGCACAGGCTGCTCTTCGATTGGAGAGCGGGGAGAGAGTGTTTATCTTCTGCCGGCATGTGTTGCTGCAGAAGAAAAGTGTGACTTTATGAGTGTCAGCTTTTCATGAATACATTTTCACTGAGTGTACTGGTATGTAATGTTGGGTCATTTACATGTGAGAAGTGGATGTTGTCTTCACCACGACCTCCTAGGGAACTTTACCTGCGTTATTCAAGCAACTCAAAGGTGATGGTCGTCATTAAGACAGGTATTCTCTGTGCAATAGAAAACCCACAGTGCAAACATCAGTGTATTCCAGTTTAAAGGCTCGGCTGAAGCAGACGCATGAACCTCCAGTCTTCACAGCTCTGCTTGTCACACCAGTCTCCTCTCAGCGCAGACTCCGGGCTCACACGTCTTCATTCACACAAACTGTGTAGCTCACACAGTTAATTTTAGAGTTGAGAGATGACATTAGACCAGTGTGCTGCGAATACAGCAGCTCCTTGTTTCAACAAGAATATTCTTTGGAAACAAAGAAAGCCTGGCCTCAGGTTCTGAAATAGTCTAGAAGAAAAAACCTGAGAGGGGGAGGTAGGTAGAGGATTAGACATTTGAAAACAGAGATTATCATAACTTTGTTTCAGGTAAAACGTGTCTGAAAATCATGGAGATGGTATTTACCGTTTAATAATTTTCTCAATAAAATTAAGAGGCAACGGCAGACCTTGAGTGAAAACTGATTATAATCCATATTCTGTGTCAAATGCAACGTAAACTTATTAAGCTACTTCTCAGTCTTACTATCAGTCAACTGAACTGAACACCACATGACAGTTTTACCTATTTACTCAAAGAGTCATTGAATGATGCTAGAGGCTGCTGTGCTATCTGCTGACCCGACCACTTGCTGGATGTCATGTTCTCGTAAACACCTGGGCATCGCCTAACACCGTGTCCTAACAGCACGCCAGCGTTATATGTCACGCTCGCTGTCCACACTGCATGCGTTAAATATTGAATTCAATGCTCTGTATATCCACTCTTGCCAAAAGAATAACATCTAGTGCTTTTTGTACTGAAGGTGGACAAACGGATGTGTGGTGCTTTGTATTAACGAGCAGCTGACTCAAATCTCAACTGAGGGTCATCGGTAAACGGCTCGCGGTGAGCCAGAGAAAACATTTATTTTCCGGTGTTGACACAAACATTTCAATCATGGATGTGCATATTATCAATGCACCATTATCCCAACTTTGTAAGATGAGCTTACCAAGCTCTGTTGAGTGAAAAAAGTGTGTGTCAGAGCCTTGCAGAGCACCCTCCTTCCTCGTTCCCTAGCGACAGAGAGGAAATTAGAAACAGGGCATTGGGGTTATAACGGTGCGTTGCGTCTGGCTGCTTTGCGCTGCAGTTAGGACACTCTGATAGGAAACAATAGAATCAGACTGATTTTGTCCTGTTAGGACATGGTGTAAGGGCAGACTTTTGGGGGTTCAGTATGTGACCTAAGCACTCTGACAGCAGATTGTTAGATCCAAGGATCTGATTAGTTTTACATTAAAAAATCAAACCTGACAGCTGCCTGGCTGTTTAACCTGCTCCGCCTTCTGAAAGCCAAACACCACTTTGAAACTGTGAAATATTTATGTAACACTCTACTCGTTGACCTGGCAGCGACCTGCACTCTGTTGTTGTTGGAGCGTGGGACTTCTGTGATTCGGCTTGTTTACATTCAAACCTGGCTATTATATTGCCAGTGAAAATATAAAATTGGATTATATTATTTATTATATAATTTATTATATCCTTTTTTTTTCAGTTCTTTCCACATTTTATTTGCTGTTCGCCATCCAACGTTATTCAGTTATTCAAGATGAATGTAAATATCAGGTTTAAAGGGCTCCATAGGCGTTATACTGCCAACAGGCAATACGCCTTGGTGAGAAGCAGAAGGTCGTTTGTCCACCTGGTGTTTCAACAAAACCAATGTGGTTCAGTGTTTTCAGCGCTATACGTCCTGAGCGCAAAACAGATGCTTTTTGTCGCTGCGCTTATATCGCTCTCAGTTGAAAACAGTTCAACTTTTGAAACAACATGGCCCTCGCCTAGTCACTTCTCCCCCCACTGGCCAATCAAAACAAAGAAGGGGCGGGACTTCTGATATCAGCTTTGTCAACAACAAACAGATGATAAATCAATCTGTCTCATCTTTTCATGTGTAGAGCTGCTGATGTGAAGACAGAATTCATTTTCATACTTTAATCTTTTCTTTGAGATATTTCCTTGAATCAATATATTAAAAACTTTGAGCTACTAAACCAACCTATCGGTCACGAACGAGGGAAGCAGAAGTTAACCTTCGTAACCTATCAACAATGAGGTCGCCGGTGAGAAGCGCTCTGAAGCTGTGGTAGTGGACGCTGCCATTGCAAAAAGTGCCGTCTGTGGACACAGGACATGATGTCTGTAAAGGGTGAGAGGAGAGCAGCTTGCCCCTGCTGGAGTCCAGGGAAACTAACTGTCTTAAACCCCCACAGCTGTAAACACAAACACAAGGAGGGGATTACTCTCAAAGTAACCAGGCTTTACCATCAACCTTTATTCTCTTCAATTAGAAAGAATTATTGCAGGAAACTTCAAACATTTTCTACTTAAATGTATAAAGATTAAAAGTACACATGAAGAACATTAAGTTTTACGACCTTTAAACGGAGACTCATTGAAACCCTGCTGGTTCTACAATTCTACAATTCACTTAGCAGACGCTTTTATCCAAAGCGACGTACATCAGAGAGTAAGTACAACACAAGCAAGGATCTAGAAAAAAGGGAACAATGTGAGTAAGAGCAAACGATCAGCTTTGAGTCTGATTGGACACACAGGTGCTGACAGGAAGTGACCAGAGGCAAAGCACAACATTGAGGGCAGTTCTTGAGAGCTCTAATCAGTATAGAAACCATCTTATAAGTCGTCGTTATCAAACAAAAACCATCGTCATTACCATCATTAATAATATATAATCGTTAAGTTAGTAGGTATTCATGAAAGAGCTGGGTCTTTAGCTTTTTCTTAAAGGTGCAGAGGGACTCTGCAGATCCAATGGAGTTTGGAAGTTCATTCCACCACTGGGGGGCGACAGAGGAGAAGAGTCTAGTCAGAGACTTACGAACCTGTTTTGAAGGTTGAATCAGACGCCTTTCATTGGCACAGCATAGTGGGTGGGAGGGAGTGTAGACCTGGACGAGAGAGTTAAAGTAAGGAGGAGCCGTTTTTGTCACTGTTTTGTAAGCGAGCATCAGAGTTTTAAATTTGTTACGAGAAGTAACTGGGAGCCAGTGTAAGGAGATGAACAGCGGGGTGATGTGCTCTTTTTGGAAGGTTGAAGACCAGTCGTGCTGCTGCATTTTGTATCAACTGCAGGGGTTTGATAATGTATGTAGGAAGACCTGCCAGTAGAGAGTTGGTTAAAAACGCAGTGTTGTGTTTGTGGATATGGGCAGAAACTTTGGGACATGGACTACATGGCTGGGTCGTTTCAACCCAAAGCCCTCATGAGATAAATCAACCTAACATTTGTACTGTTCTGGATTAGTGTGCTGAACTATTTAGGCAAATGAGCTAAAAGAATAATGTTTGGTAAGACCATCTCCTGGATTGATGTAACAGGGGAAAGGCAGCAGACCTTCTCAGGATCATCACATTGTAGCCGCCCTAAAGAGTGATCCGGATAGAACAAGAGCATTATGGTTAATGTCATTAGAACATAGTTATCTGATTACTGTATAAACAAGACCTGCTCCCTCGATGCCTCCTCTCCTGATACAATGATTTGGAGTCAGTGTGCTGGAAAGGAAAATGCTCCTTGTCTGTTTGTGCTCCTGCATGTAAATGAGCTTTCACAGTAAGTGCAGCAGAGTGCTCATACATCCTTATGAGGACCAACAGACCCTCTAAAGGACACTGCACTCTGTAATATGTACACTTTAAATCTACCACACCAGCATGTCAGAAGTGTTACAACATGCATTACTCATGAGTCAAAGTGGAGGCCACTCAGTCCGTTGTCTTCATCTGAAATTGACGTTAAAAGAGAAATACGATCTTATGTTATGGCAATCATATTTGTACTCTTTTGTGCATCATTATTTTTTTGGAACAGGTTCGATTTTCTGCGTTTTTTTGGCATCCAGCCCTGTGTGTGTGTGTGTGCGTGTGCGTGTGCGTGCATGTGTCACAGGTTTTGGGGTAGCTGGTTGTCATGGTTACAGGTGCCAATCTCTTGATATTAGGATTTTGTGAGAAATCAAGGGAGGATTTGAACGGGGAAATTTACTTCCGGAACCAGAGCCACCGAAAAAGTGGGCGGTCACTGTTGAGCTCGATACTCCCCGCAAGGCCCATATATGGTCATGTTGATAACTGCCATGGTTTTTAGAATCACATCTCTCTTTGGCAATCTGGATCATTTGGCTCGAATCAAGTTATATACAAGCTCCCAAACGGCTCTTCATTTGGAACCTCTTAGGTTTTTTAAATTTGTTTTACATCAGATACTTTTATCAAAGTTTTGACCAATGATTGATATGTGTGCATTGATTTTTACTTGAGTTATTCGTTTGAATTATGCTAAACCATATTAAGTCCCAGAAAAACACTATTCCACATGATTGATATAAAACATTATTGTTATACCAGCGAGCACTATGTGTGCCTGTAGCCAAGCAGTGTGTGAGAAAAGATCATGTTTTCAATACCAACAAAAAGAGAAAGAAAGATGGCTCCATCGTTCACAAAGAGACCGGGCCCTTTCCGAATAGCCACAGTTCAGTAGGCAGTACGTACTTTTCAGTAGGAGTTTCAGTATACTGAACTCTCATGGTCATTCAGTATGCATTTTTTGGGTCCACCTCAGTATACTGAACATTTCAGTATGGATACTAACTTCCGGGTTTTATGCAGTATGGATCGGATGCGTGCTTTCAGGAAATGAATTGTATTTTACCACCCACA